AAAGCACCCAGGGTTAGAAATGGCATGCTAAAAGATGGATTCAAAATGTGGTGTCATGTGCACACATGTACTTGTATCTCCTGACACAAAATTGATTTTTTTTTTCTGTACTGAAGTTAGCAGTTGCCCACACACACAAGCTAGACTCCAAAGTTAAAGCAATGGTACTCACTCCACATATCATGTAGACCCATATTTTCATTTCATATCAATCAAAAGAGCCACATGACTACTATCAAAAGATCACACATGCCCTGCAGTGCACCTCACTCCACCAAACATGCACATGCAATAATATCAAAGATGTAACCTATTAATAATGAATATATAACTATAATTTTAAATCCCAGAATATCTCTTAGAGTTGCCAACCTCCAGGTGGCATCTGGAGATCTCTCGGAATTACAATTGACCTCTGGACAACAGAGATTAGTTCCCCTGGAGGAAATGGCTACTTTGGAGTGTAAAGTCTATGTCATTATACCCTGCTGAGGTCCCTCCCCTCCCCAAACCCTCCCATCCCCAGTCTCAACCTCCAAAATCTCCAGGTATTTCCCAACCCAGAGCTGAAACCCTAGTATCTCTGAGCATGCAAGGCTGTCTTTTCTCACTACTGCTGAACCTTAGCCAGCCATCGTGCATCTGAAGTGAGGAAAAGGGCTTGCAAGTAAGATGTATGATACAAAATGGTATACACGCTTTCAAGTTCTCCAGAACTTTTTATTAGGCGAGATGTTTAAACGTCAGTGCTTCTCTATGTTAAACATTCCCTTCAAGTTTTCCTATAGTTATGTTGGAGAGGGGGTGATTAGAACTTCTTTCCATGCTCAATGTTCTGCTTGCAAAGAGTTTGTGTTGTGGGTTAGCATTCAGCAGCAGTATGCCCCACTTCACCAACTCATTCAGCTGCATATGTTGACCTAGGCTCACACACAGAACCCCTACATCTCCACAACCCTGATATAATCACCACATAGACAAGGTGCATTGTGTTTTTAAGAAGAAAACTGTTAGTTTTATCTTAGGCTCACAATGATGATGATATTATGCCAGTTTCTTAAAGAAATTGCCCACTTTGCTGAAACATGGCCGGGGGAGGCTACTATGAAGAATGGTGCTCAGAAGAGCCTCATGTGGCATGTCAAAGAGCCACATGTGGCTCCCAAGCTCCTGAATGAGCATAACTGAGATAAGCCAGAAACTGAGTATGGTGCACAGTTAGATATTGAGACTAGTTAGGAATGTTTATAAATGTGTATTACACTAAATATAAACCACTAGATGAAATAATACTCAGCAAAATTCAAACATCAGTAACTTTAACAACAGAAATGAGACCTTAATATTTATGGGTATCAGACATTTGACAAGATCAGTGATGAAGTAAACTCCAGTGTACAATTAATATACAAATCTGAAGGCCTCCAGATCCAAAACAATAAAGAAAAGATACATTTTATAGAAACAGAGATCACATAGAGATATTCTGATACTGAGCAAAATGGAAGAATATTGAACATTACTTATAATTTCAGGAATATTGGTTCTAGTTGCATTTCACTTAAAGAACTAGAAGGAACATTGCTAAAATTTCATAAGAGTTAAATTTTGCACAACAGGACATATTTCTGGTTGAGATTATAAGAAAATATATTCAGTGTTGACAGTCTATTATTTATTTTTCTAAACTGAAAACAACCTGCTGTGCTCTTAGCTTTGAATGTAAAGTTCTTCTTATCCAGCATTGTATGCCTCTGGGTACCAAGTGCTTAAAAACTAAAATTGTCTTCTTCACTTCCTTTCCTTCTTCAGGCTTTCCAGTGTTTTCCAGGCTCCTCCCCAAGAGAATAACCAGAATTCACCATAGAAGCTATCCTTCCAGAGCCATGCTTTTCATTTTTCTTTGCATTTTTCTAGATTGGCCCACATCCTTATTTTGAACACAGTTAAGATTTCCAGCCTCCAGGTAAGGGCTAGAGATCTCCTAGAATTACAGCTGATCTCCAGACTACATAAATCATATTTATTTATTTATTTATTTATTTATTTATTTATTTATTTATTTATTTATTTATTTATTTATTTATTTATTTATTTATTTATTTATTTATTTATTTATTTAAAACATTTATTCCACTTCTCCTGGAGAAAATGGCTGCTTTGTAAATTGGACTGCATGGCATTATACCCTACCAAGGTCCCTTCCCTCCCTAACCTCCACCCTCCCAGGTGCCACCCTCAAATCTCCAGGTATTTCTGAACCCAGAGTTGGCAACCCTAAACACACTTGCCATGTCTCTTGGTTGACAACAGCATTGCACTTTATGTAAATCCAGACAGCTGCACCACTAGTCATTGCAGTTATATCTTAATTTTATTAAACTCTTTCACTGAAGATTTGTAAGTAGGCTTGCCAGGTCCAGTTTTGTCCCCAGCAGGGGACTTTATGGGGCATTCCAAAAAAACTGGAGGGGGTGGGGCATCCCCAACATGATGATGTCACCTTGGGGAATCCCGCTCCAAGCTCCGCCCCCAAGAAAAATCACTGGCAGCCACCCCTCTCCCAGACCTCCTGCAAGATTCAAAGGGCCCACCGACCAGGTGGTGGGACCGTTAAATCTTGCAAGAGGGGAGGGAGAGGGGCAGCCACTGGCTGCGCACCTGAACTCCAAACGGCGATGTTGCTTGGAGTTCAGGCACACAGGGCCCGATAGGGGAGGGAGAGGGGCGGCTGCGGGCACACTTGGAGAATGGGCATACAGGGCCAGTCCCCACCAGCTGGAAGCACTTAAAGGGCCCCTTTGACTGCTTCTAGCCAGCCGGGGCCCTGCACCCAATCTCCAAGCGGTATTGCCAGTTGGATACCAGGTGCGTGGGGCCAGTCCCCGCTGACCGGAAGCACTTAAAGGGGCCCTTTAAGCGATTCCTGCTGGTGGGGCCATGTGCACCAAAAGCCACCCCTCCCCCTCCCTTCTGCAAAATTTAAAGGACCCTTTACATCTCTCAAGAGAAGTGAGGGGGCGGCTGTGGGTATTCGGGCTTGGGGGTATGGCTTCCCCTACTGGCCAGCTAGCCAACGGGTGGGTTTAAACCCCAAAAAGCACACCATGATTGGGTGCTATCGGCTGTAGGTTTAAGGACGTTTCAGGACTCAACAGTATTATTCAGTCATATCTATTCTGTATAGTTATTATTGTTTCATTGTATCAAATTGCAATTATGTAGTTGGTCTTTGTTGTTAGTTAATTGTATTATAAATATTATTTTGTGAAACATAAATAAAAATAATACAAAAAAAGCGGGTAAACCCTGCCAGTCCAGGGGGTCTGGCAGCCCAATTTGTCAGTTACCCATTTATATTATTTACTGTGTATACTGTGTAAATGTAGCAACGTTTTGACTAATCTCAGGATGTTGAAAAGATGGATTCTTTACTGGAATATTTTTTATTCTTTTCTTTAAAAGTGTTGCAAATACTCCTGGGTACACTTTATGATTACCTCCTAGGGTTGCCAGGTCTGGGTTGGAAAATGCCTGGAGACTTTGAGGGTGGATCCAGGAGAGGGAGGGGTGTGGGGAGGGGAGGAGCGTCAGCAGGGTACAATGCCCTAGAGTCCACCCTTCAAAGCAGCCATTTTCTCCAGAGGAACTGCTCTTTATCAGCTGGAGATTAGTTGTAAAAGCAGGAGGTCTCTGAGCCCCACCTGGAGGCTGGCAACCCTATTACCTCCCCACCACATCCCCCAAGACATTTTCCATGAAGCCTTAATAGCAGGTATTAAAAATCTTTTAAGGTGCAGTCCTAAGCAGAGTTACCCCCTTGTAGCAGTACAATTCCCAGAGTTACACTTAGGGTTGCCATGTTCCTGCTGGGGATGGGTGATCTCCTGCCTCTATTGGGACCTTCCAGCTGCCATTCAACTGAGTAGTGCAAGAAAAAGTGGGGAAAATGGGGAAATCACCGCTATACCAAGATGCTAATGTCACTTCTGGTATAATTGGAAGTGATGACATCATGATACTGGTGATGCTCCAGCATTCAGACAAAACTCTACAGTTAAACCATAGTTTTGGATGAATGCTGGAGCATCACCAGCAATGTGATGACATCACTTCCAATTGCACCAGAAGTTACATCAGCAAGTTGCCAGTGATGTCATTACAGTGTCAGGGAGCCCCCACCCCAGTGGTGAGTCTCCTGCTGGTTGCCAGCCTCATGCTGTTCAGTATGGCACTGTAAACCTATTGAAGTCAATGGGCTTTGAAGGTTGCTAGGGATGATACTGACAGAAACCTAAATACAATGAATGTATTTAATTTGTGGTCCCACTTTTTAAAAATTCCAGTACTGATTCACCTTCTCAGAATTCCTGGGACAACCACTCAGTTATTATCTTCTTGGAAGCAAAGTTTGGTTTTAAAAGAACATTTTAATGATTGGTGATTGAAATGAATTTACATTATAGCTGTCAATTGACTTATTTTACTTAATCATCTGCTCTAAAACCAAAAAATCAATTAACTGACTGCAGTAAAATCATTTGTTTATTATCCCAAGTAGGCACCTTTTTGAAAAAAACTGAAAAGAGGAAAAACTCCAAAATGTAATATACAAAAGCTACGTCTGAACGTTATCTACTATCACAGATTACTAGAAGAAAAATTCGTTTTTTAAAAAGTTCACCTGAGCAGTCTTAATGTCAGCCCTTTGATTAAAATTGTCTACTGACTATCTCAGGGTTTTTTTTTCATTTTCTGCTTGACCAACATGACTAATGACATTCCAATTTAAATAATACTTCTCCAACACTCCCTTAATTTCATTTCAAAATTGGCTTCTAGTTAGCTTCCAACTAATTCCTGAATGTTGGGGTGGGGGGGAGGGCTTGCTGATAACTTATGTACACATAAGAAACAATAAACAATTACCTTCAATACATTTACCAAAGACTAAAAGGCACAAGAGGAGTTTTAAAATTATTTTGGAGAACAGTACTTACAGTTGCAGAGAGCTGAGGTCCATTCAGTTGTGAATACAAGATGGCCTCATTGACAGAGGACCGAATACCCACCAGTGCCAGTTCCAAATCATGAGATCCAGCCATTTCATTACTAAGATATTCCAGGGTATAAATGTATTCCCTCCACTGAGCATCCAGTTCAGATACACTAGCAAAACATCCTCTCATTACATTTAGACAATACCCTTCACAAGGTCTGATGAGCGTGAGGCCTTGGCAATGAGGACAATATTGCATCTTCACTAGTGCTCGACTACATTCCTTTGTCAAAGTGGCATGCTCAGTAGCATTCAGCACTTCAATGCCCATCCCAAGGGCCTGATTAAACATTCTGCTTGCCCAGAGAGACTTTGCCAGCTCTGTTATGGCTTCTTTCGAATACCGTCCAAATGGGTTGATATCTTGCCGCGTTAGCCTCAGGCACTCTGTATACTCTTCAGACAAATCTGTAATTCCTGGGTTTATTAGGCGGCTATAAACCAAAGGGAAGAGGCTGTCAAAGAACTGGGAAAATGCACTTTCCACTGCGGTCTGAGCACCCAAGAGGTAGAGAGAGATGTCTGTAAAGAGCTCTTTGACAGGTTCGACTGCCTCCTTTGACAGGGACCTGTAGACAGTCTCAAACAGAGAAGTTGTGTGGTTCTCGGCCAAGCGAAGCAATGACTCAAAGGCCGCTGCAAAAAATGGAGACATGGAAGGTAGAGAGAAAAGTCAATGTTTCCTTATCACAGTTGAGCAACACAGACGATAAACTAACCAACAGACTATAAAATTATATTATTATATTATTGTACTGATAGTTTACAGGCTTTACTGGGCTTGTAACTGGACTTGTTTCTGACCTAAGCTTTACAGCATTTAAAGAAAAGCCTATAGAGTCTGATAGGCTTTTGAGATTGCATCAACCAATGTTGATGTGGATTTTAAGACTGTGTGCTTTTTGAATGGTTAGAGGTGTTTCAGTGTCACACCAAGAAAGGTTCAAGTGGGTAGCCGTGTTGGCCTGAAGTAAAAGAACAAAGTTTTAGTCCAGTGGCACCTTTAAGACCAACAAAGTTTAATTCTAGGTATAAGCTTTCGTGTGCATGCACTGATGAACTGTGCATGCACACGAAAGCTTGAGAGGGCGGTGGCGACACAGCTTCAAAGCTTTCTGGATGACGCTTCTGTCCTTGATCCATTTCCGCCCAGGTCATGGGACGGAAACAGTGCCCTTACTGACGACCTCCGGAAGCATCTGGATCGAGGCGGTGTGGCGGCACTGTTGCTGTTAGATCTGTTGGCCATGTTCGATACGGTCAACCACCAGTTGCTCGCGTCACTGACGTGGGGATACAGGGGCTCGATCTTGAATGGCTTGCCTCTTTTCTCCAGGGTCGGGGACAGAGGGTGGCGATAGGGGAGGAGCAGTCCCAGAGGCACCCACTTGAGTGCGGGGTGCCTCAGGGGGCAGTGCTTTCCCCGATGTTGTTTAACATCTACATGTGCCCCCTCACCCAGAGTGCCAGGAGGTATGGGCTGGGTTGCCATCAATATGCAGATGGCACCCAGCTCTATCTGATGTTGGGCGGCCAGTCGGGCTCTGACCCAGAAGATCTGACCTGGGCATTACAGGCAGTGGCTGAGTGGCTCAGGCTGAGCCATCTGAAACTAAACCCAGTGAAGACGGAGGTCCTGTGACTGAGTTGGAACGGATCAGGGTTGGGGATCCCTCTCCCAACCTTCAATGGGGCACCATTGGTGTCAACGTAGGAGGTTAGGAGTTTGGGAGTGCACCTGGATTCCTCCCTAATGATGGAGGCCCAGGTGGCAGCCACTGCCAGAGCAGCATTTTATCATCTTAGGCTGGTTCGGCAGTTGGTCCCCTTCCTCGACCGTGACGACCTGGCTACAGTGATCCATGCAACGGTCACCTCGAGGCTAGACTACTGTAACACTCTCTGCATGGGGCTGCTTTTGGCGCAGATTCGGAGGCTGCAGCTGGTGCAGAATGTGGCAGCCAGGCTGATGATGAGTCTCCCCAAGTGGGAGCACATCTGACCTGGGCTGGAAGTGCTGCACTGGCTGCCAATAGCATACCGAATCTGTTTCAAAGTGCTGGTACTTGCCTTTAAAGCCCTATGTGGCCAGGGTCCGACTTACCTGAGGGACCGCCCTTTCCCACATATACCCCCAAGAGCACTTCGGTCGGGGACACAACATTGCCTGGTGATTCCAGGCCCCTGGGAGGCAAGGTTCATTGCGACCAGGGCCAGATCCTTCTCGGTGGCGGCCTTTACCTGGTGGAATGAGCTCCTGGAGGACATCAGGGCCCTGTGGGACCTTATGCAGTTCCACAGGGCCTGCAAGACGGAGCTCTTCCGCCAGGCTTTTGCATAGGGGCCGCCACTGCCACCACCACCAATGGTGTGGATAACAACGGGGCTAGGGATGGCCCCAGGAAGATCTTCTACAACACCACGTGGCACTGGTACCATCGGACTTACTTGGGACCAACTACAGGACAAGATCACCCCCAAAGAACTGACTGTTACCATCATGAAATTTATTCAGGGACCATTATGTTTTCATGAAGCACTCTACTTTTATCTGTGTTATATCTAATGGTTTTATTGCTTTTATTATGTTTCACGTGGGCTGTGCCCCTTGTAAGTCACCCTGAGCCTGCTCACGGGGAGGACGGGGTAAAAATGTCAAAAATAAATAAATAAAATAAATAAATACTCAGAATTAAATTTTGTTGGTCTTAAAGGTACCACTGGACTCAAATTTTGTTCTAATGTCACATCAGTTTCATTTGGGAGATACTTTCAGGGATGGGAGGAAGTCAGTTGCAAGAATGAAACTGTCAGATCAACACTGCTTTGGAAAAGGTCCATATTGATTGACAATATACCAGCAAGACTTCACACAGTATTTCATGTATTTATTTGTAATAACCTGGGCAATAGGCATGAAAAGTAAATGTGCTTGTACAAAAGACCAGACAAAACTTGCATTTAAAAGCAACTTCAGATAATCTGGAGCCGCAACTCAAAGAATAGTGAAGGTAATTAATCATAATAATTATAATGTAATACTAAAGTAGCTTTCCATAACGTTGTACTAAACAGTTTATAAACCCATTAAATCGAATGGACTCATGAACAAAATTTTATCACTCTTCAAACACAGATCTTCATTCCAACATCTGATCCAGAAGTGAAAATTTCTTAATCCTGTGTTGTCTATGCATAAATCCCTACAGGTTACAGACTCAGGGCTTTGCTTCCTACCATACTACTCCATCCGCCCCAACCCATGTATCTTCCATTTCTGTTGCAGTTATAAGACCAGAAGACCATCTGGGCAAAAGGCAAAGTGGTTACATCCTTGTTGAGAATGAGACTGATATTTTGCTGTTTATGACTTTATATATATGCTAACACACTATATAGATTGTGCACACACATTTGCTCATAGGCTCAAAGGTAAAGCTGCTTGAATCGCCTGTTGTGAGAGAGAGGTTTTCACATAGAGGGTATTGAACTGCATTTCATGCTAATGAGTTTGCAGACACACAAACAGCTACTAAGCCTTATGGGAAGAAGAAGCACATTTCACCATTGTTAGCAGGAAATACAGCTTAAAAAGACAAGTATTCCCCCATTGCTGAGAGACTTGATGTCATGTTTTACACGGAGCTAATCTGCATCTGAATTGCCATTTCCTGGTGGACGTGCCTAGAGTCAATGGAAAGCCGGTATCTATCTGCAAATCAAGGAGAATCATGACGCTGAGGTTTCACACCTGACCAGATGGCTTTCCATGAGTTAGAGTCTAGAGTTTCAAATATTGGTCCAACCCTTAAAGGTGCTGCCCCTCACTATACACACCAATAAGAAGTAGGGATGGGACGGACTACAGATAGGTGGGATCTCAGCTTGGCTAGGTTGCCACCCACCCAAAGATTTCACTTTAAAACGCGAAGATCATGCGTTAAGGCTTTTGCTAGCCACTACCCCCCTCTTGCCTGCTTTAACTCCCCTTCTGCCCAGCCTGCTAAAATCCTTTGTCTTCACCTGATCTCTTGGTGTGCGCATCCAAAGAGATCCATACTTTGCTGGCTAGTTCTAGCAAGTGTGATTTAGTTAACACCCCTAGGTATTACTTTCTTCCCCTATCTTACATTGCATCAGACATGACTTCAGGAACAGGCAAGTATAAACCGATACCTACCTACCTCCAAGTAAATGAGAAACTCTCTTGATATCTTTCTGTAACTCTAAAGGAACCTGATTGTATGTGAATGTGAGACTGATGTTATGTGTATGTGATTTTGATATTACTCAGTAAAAAGACAATTTGTTTTGGAAAAACACCAGTCTCGTCTCCATCACTGGTACTCTCTGGGGCTGGCAGAACCTCCGTAAACTTTGGCAAGGACTCATGTTAAATTTAGTAAGCCATCTGCTGTAAATAAAGCGATTGGCGTAACATCCTCCACCATCACTTTGGACATCTTAAAAAGTTATGTGCATGATAGGTCTCCAGTGTCAGTCTGTTGCCACCCCTGCAAATCTAATGCCAGATACAAGGCACACCAAGTGATTTCCATAAAATAACCTTCAACCCAAATTACAGATATATACTTTAATAATTCTCGTTAGAGCAGTTAAAAGGAAGGAGGAATAAAACAGCACTGGGAAAGAAATGATTACGAGGAGCCACTTCTACCCCAATTCCTGCAGCATCAGGGATTTAAAGAGGTGAGTCCTGTCCATCTTGGAATGGAACAAAGCTAGACCATACTGACCATCAGTCAACAACAACAGAAGGTGCTGGGTTGGGCCCAATGGTTATTTTCACTGATGGAATGAAACTTTCTTATCAACCCCCATTTTTTTTGCAGCCCAAAATGGTCTCCAAAATGCTGCTTTGAGGGCAAGGGACCTGTGGTAAGAAAATTTAGAAACATAGAAGGTTTTGGGTTTAAAAATGAACCCCATGTATCTATCTCTGTCATTGCTAGCAAAACAGCAGACAGCCATGGCCTGTTTCACTAAACCAGGCCATGATTCTTTGCAAGCCCTTTGTTCTAGGCAGAACATTCCTCTCGGTGTACTCAAAAGTTCACAACATTCCATTCCCAGGATCTGAATCAATGAATGTTTCCCTAGGTGTGAGACTCACAATTTCCTAGGCAATAAAATGTGTGTTAACAGGAAAGGCCATTTGGGCATTGACCAACTTCAATCCGGAAGGAAAACAAGCTCCTGAGATACAGAGAGTTCACACACCCCATCTCAGAGATAACATCAAGGGACAGTTTTTTTCCCATGATTGGGAAACACCAGGAGAAAACAATGACACTGTATTGATCCTGTGGAATGTGAACTTTTGTTGTATAAGACCCAAGGAAGCAAATTTCCTACAAGACAATTTCAACTTCTAAATGTTAATTTACAACTGTAATTTGATTATTGAGAGACTTTGATCATTTGGTATAAATACTAGTTAGTTTCAACAGACCTTCGTTGACTCTTGAAGGATCAGGAGAGGCTTATTTTCTCCTGAGAATTTGGAGTCAACCCGAAAGGCTTTTCGTTTCTGCATGCTTTGGGGGGGGGGGGGCTTTGCTTGCATGCATTGGGGCTTTTGCTTGCATGATTATTGTATATGTTTTCACTATCAT